GGGGGGGGATGGAGACGAAGCTGATGAGACGGACAGAGACACTATTACAAAGCCCGAAACTAATTCCTGGGTTGAGATGATTTCCACTCTCTCTGCTACTTGTGTTTAAATAGAGCTTAGGATGACAGATGAGGAGGTGAAAAAGTGGGGGAGTCGAAAGGAAAGTCGAACATGGAGTTAAAAGGAGCTACAGGGTGAAGAAACGGAGACATGTGTCTTACATGCGGGAGAGCGGATGCATGAATAATTACTGAGATATTGACATTGGACATCTCTTCGTCTTTGTTCTGACCGTCCTGTCGTCTCTCATCTTCTTTCTTTTCTCTTCCATACTAGTTTTAATCCTCCTGTCTGTTGCTTCTATTTTGCATCACTCATATGGGCCGTATGGGCAACAGCCCAGGGCGGCATTAGAAAAGGAGCGCACAAACCCGGCACAAAATATAAAATATATCTGGGGGTGCCTTGAAAAAGTTTTCTATTGCTTTAATTTACGTCCGGTCAATAATTAGCTAGCACCCCATATCCAACCAAACATTGTTTAGACCAGGAATTTTGAGCTGATATAAACCAACGTTGGCATTTTTCAACATGTGGATCTGACAAAATTATGATCACATGCACACTTTCCACACCAGATCCCCTTCAGCTCCTGATACCAACTACCCCCCCCCATGAGCTTAAATCCAAACATCCCTTGTTTGATCAGATTCAGTGTCTCCTCCTCAGTGTCTCCTCTGTGTGGTCAGACACTGTAGCAGTAAAATAGCACTTTATCAATCTGTAGGAGCTGATATATTCCTGCTGAAGAAGAACTGAATGCTGAAATCAGTTCAGATGATGCTTCAGTGAAGCTAAGATATGTAATGGAGTGTGTACCCCCCTTTTTTTTAGACCAGTTGTTTGTTTTAAAAAGAACATAACGATTCGGTTTAATAATGATAAGTATAACAATTTCAAACAACTGTATGAACTGTGGGCTGTTCAGTAGTTTAGCTGGTACCACTGTTGTCTTGCATCATGAAAATCCTGGGTTCAAATCCCAGCCTGGGGTCTTTTTTTTCACGTTTGCATGTTTTCCTTGTGCATGCATGTGTTCTGTCCAGGTACTCCGGCTTCCCCCCACTGTCCATGTTAAGTTAATCCAAACTGTCCTTAGGTACGAGTGTGTGCATGTATGACCGTTTGATCTGCCCAGTGACGGACTGGTGATCTCTCCAGGGTGTGTCTGCTTCTCGCCCAAAGGTTACTGGAGAGAAGCACCAGCCCTGTTGCATTAGATGTTTTTATGGTCATTGATTTTCATGATCATGTGGATCAATCTGAGAGCATTTGCATCCTACCCTTCCATTATCTTTCACTTATTTCTGGAAACTGTTATGGGGTGCGGTTGGTGGTGGCGAGAATGAACGCAGACGACCCAGGTAGTGATGAAGATGATGATGAATTTAATAAAGAGAGCTCAAACACAGTCCGGCAAAGAGTTAGCACACAGCTAATTACCGGTAGCAACTGAAAGAGAGGACTGAAAATGAGAGCTGAACCAACACAGGACTTCACAGTTCGACTGTGGTGGCAAGCAGACAAATGACATACGACCAGGATCCGACAAGAGACAAAGACAACAGGTGGGACTAAATACACAGGGAGGGTAATCAAGGAATGAGACACACCTGGGAAGCAATCAATGGGGAAGACACAGAAACAACAGAGACTCAGGACAGAAACTGAACACAGAAAAACCTTAAAATAAATACACAGAAACACGGATCATGACAGAAACTCTCTTGTCTCTATGAACCAATAAACAAACAACATATAAATATTTTAACATTAAGATGCATAAAACATAAAACAATGGGTGCATTAGCTTCATTGACCGGATACACCTAAACTGCTTGTTGCATGTGACCTCACTGATGTGAAACACTGGATGGGTGTACTGTTTCTTTAAATGGAGGAAAGACAAGGGAGGAGCAGAGTCAGAGGAGAGAGAGAGAGTGAGTGAGAAGGAGATGTAGTAAAATAAGCAGAGCTGTATTCATGGTTTCCTCTCTGTAAGAGAGGTGGATTTAGATAAGACAGAAGGATTTCACAGAAAGAAAGAAAGAAAGAAAGAAAGAAAGAAAGAAAGAAAGAAAGAAAGAAAGAAGCAAAGGGAGAAAAAAGAAGGAAAGAGAGGGAGAGAGAAAGAGGCTATACACATTTAACAGGATTTTTCTAAAAGCATTCCAACAATCTGAGGAGGAGTTATCTCAGATCAGCATCTTGCAAGATGTTTTACAAGGACTCAGCTCACTGACCTCTGATGGCTTAACGCGGAATATTTTTGCTGTTTTAAAGCGAAACTCTTTCTTCCTTTAAGACGTTTTTCTTTTTTCCTGACTGAAATAATTTTAAAGTCACTTTTCAAAGAGATTTCATCACCTCCTTTGCAGGTTACGTGAATTTCACAGATATTTCTTTACTCCCCAAAACCTTTAAGGCAAAGTGCTGAATGTTTTTCAAGTTGACTGGAAGTAAACAAATCTCAGGAAAGCATTAACCCTTTACTTTACATTCTAAATGCTTTTGGGCAACTAATTTATGCTTTTATTTATTAAGCTTTGAAAAGACAGCTGTTCACGTGAGCTGTTGAATTTGAAGTTGATCCTGTGTAAACTGAACTTCTTGTCAATGCACAGTTTTTAGACTTCAGCTGAATTTTCCCACATATTTGCCACGCTGCTGTTGTAAAGCTTTGCGCAGATATTTACAATTTTAGCATCTGGGTGAAAGAGAGAAAAAGAAGGGAAGACAGATGGCTCAGAAAGAAGGAGGAACAGAGCAGGGGCGCCTTAAAACAGAGGACAGTCTAGGGACCAAAACCATGGCTGGGGCCCCCTTGGCTGGTGGAGGAGTGGTGGTGGAGGTTCGGGAGAAGAAGGGACCTCTCCGGGCTGCAATACCCACAATGCCTTTCCCCGTGGCTGTCATTTGTCTTTTCCTAAACACCTTCATACCTGGGCTTGGTGAGTTCAAAATCGCTCTTTCTGTCCTACTGCTGTCTGAAATTAACGCTACAAGAGTTAGCGCCAAAGCTGAAGTTGATCATTGTTTGCCACTGCAATGACTGAATGAAGGTATCACGCATGTGATGTCCAGTGGTGGAGAAAGTACTCAAAAAATGTACTCAAG